ATAGTGCAGGTGTGCTTTTTGAAGAGCTTATCAGAAGCGCTGCAAGCAAATGAAAAGCGGCGCACATGTCGCAGCAGGTGAATTGTTTTTTTTAACAACTGCTAACCACTGCATTCCCATTTAGACCACCACACCTCAACAACATGGTAGCAAAAAAACGTGTGATTACGACCCCCCACACACACACACACACGCACACACCCACTGTGTTACATCATTTCAGCCACTTTATGCTTGTTCCCATGGTATGGATGGAAATAACCTTGCTGAAGCACAAGCTGGGTATCTCTGTGTTAAAGTGCATTCTGACATCATTTCCTCTGGCAGCCAAATGAAGAAGATAGTTCAGGGCAGGGTTTTAACACGCTTTGTATTTTGCCACTTTTGTCTACTCCAAATAAATTAATAAATGGTATAAATGCAAGGCAGACCCAACTGAGTAATGATGTCATTTCACACTAATTCTGGCATCTAAAGCAGGTGATGACACATCTGACATGTTCGTTATGTCTCTTCAGAGACCGCCGAAATCTGCATAGGTAGCCACAGTCAGTGCTCAGCAAAGGCGGAAGGAGTTTCAGGTATATTACTTTGAAGTTACAAAAGAAAAAAAAACTGTCACAATAATTTGTTTTCAAAGAAAATGTAACAATTTAAAATTCAATTTCAACAAGGTTTTGTTAAAATCCTATCTTGACTGTAAATAGCACAATAATATTTAACGCGGAAACCTGTTTTTATCTATTCACATAAACGCTATTGATTCAATTGCAGCAGGTGTCTTGAAGAATAAAAAGCTAATTATCAATAAGTTCTTTCTCTTTTACATACAGTACCTACATAATCAGCTACTCAATATCTAAAAAAGAAAAACAAATGTTATTAAATACCAACATTCTTGTTCGTGGTCACTTTTTTCAGATATCTTCCCCTGTGTCAGGCTAAGAGGTGTATATAGATGAGATATCACTAGAAAGACCTGAAAAGAAAGAGAAAGAGGGGACAGTCATAACAAATGCACAGGCTTCCACACGTGTGACACAGATGAGCGGTAAAGGTATTCTCATTCCTAGTATAAAAGCGGATGAGATGTGATGATCAAAATTTAACAAGAACGTAACGATCAGAGGTGACTCATTGTAGAGTCATTGTAGGTGCAAAAACCATTCACTTTCACATGTGCCTTCAGAGGTATGAAAAAAAACCCTTATAAGGCGAGATGAGTCATTCTAGTCTGTATTCTTGATAAGTAGCCAAGTGTTAGACTGGTAAACACAGAGAAATTCTTAAAGTGTGAATGACACCCCCCCCCTCCCCACCTCCCCCCCTCCAGGGGATGGATATGTCTGATATGCATTGGGGGTAAATCGCTTATACTTCTAGTTCTGAGGAACGCTTCTCTTCTCTGCACTTTTTTAAACATTTTGTGGTGGTTTGAGTGGTTTCAACAGTTGGGGGCACAAACATGGTGCGATTATGATAAATACCTGTGGGTGATTTTGGACTCATGTTTATGGGAAAAGCTTTTGAAAGATAATGCTCACCTTGATGTCATCTGGGCTAAGGGGCACTAAACGTCTGGTGTGTTTTTGTCAACACGTTTGCAAATGTGGGATCTTATGACCTATTTGCTCACCTTTATACAAAATAAAATCTATAGTTTTGTTGTTGTTTTTGGTTTGCAGATGAACTCCAGATATATTTTGAGACCCTTATTTTTTTAAAAAGGAGGAAAATTTGATAGAAAATAATACAGGCCTATGAGTAAAAGCAAAATGCGTCTTACATCACTGAAAGTTTCAGTATATGTGTACTGCAGGCTTCAGCTTTCCACGTGACATCAGTGTAATTTAAATACTGAAACCGTCATGGCTTCCAGACTAGCAATGATACCACAGATCTTGAAAATAAACGTGTTAAAATCAAATTTATAAATATACTTGTTGTTCCTACAGTATTTAAAAGTAGAACGGGAGGCAGAGCCTTCAGTTTTCAGGCCCCTCTTCTGTGGAACCAGCTTCCAGTATGGATTCAGGAGACAGACACTATCTCTACTTTCAAGATTAGGCTTAAAATTTTCATTTTGCTAAAGCATATAGTTAGGACTGGATCAGGTGACCCTTAGTTATACTGCAGTAGGTCTAAGTTGCCGGGGAATTCCCATGATGCACTGAGTGTTTCTTTTTCACTCACCATGTGTTTATACACCTCTCTGCATTTATTCTTTATTTAATATTAATCTCTGGCTCCCCTATCTTCCTCCCTTCCCTCCCAACCGGTCTCAGCAGATGGCCGCCCCTCCCTGAGCCTGGTTATGCCCAGAGTTTTTTCCTGTTAAAAAGTGCTTATATATATAGGGGGTTGTCTGTTTGTTGGGGTTTTCTCTGTCTTACTGTAGGGTCTTCGCCTTACAATATAAAGCAACTTGAGACAGCTGTTCTTCTGATTTGGTACTATAGAAATAAATAAAGTAACATTGAAATTTAATGTTAAAATATTCCTGGATGAGGAAGCAATAACTCAAACAAACTTTTAATGCACGGGGATTTTAATGGGGCAGTGGTTCACACTGTTGCCTCACACGGTCCTGTATGGAGTTTCAGTGTTCTCACCCATGCCTACGTGGGTACTCTCCAAACATTGCGGCTTCCTCCCACAGTCCAAAAACACGTACAGGCTAGGCTAACCTGCGATTCTAAATTGGCTGCAGATGTGAATATGAGACTGTCTCTTTCTCAACCCTCCAACAGATTAGTTGTCTATTCAGGGTGGACCATGCCTCTCAGCCCCTGAGCCCTCCATTCCATGACCCTGAACTGGATAAGGAGAAGAAAATGGATGGGACTCTTAATGAGTATGAAGCTGTATACTGAGTGTTAAAATGCTGAGAACTTTATGTGTCATTTATATGACCAGTTATCAGTCAGATAACTAATAAAATTAATTCATTTACCCAGTGAACACTGTAGAAATGTTTAGCTTATTTTAGAGTTTAGAAATGTGTTAACATAGAATGTAGAATTATTGTAGAGACACTGACACTGCCCTCAATGTGATAAAGGCCTGACTGTCATGAACTTAGGAGTAGATGGTAGGAGACCCCTCCTCCAGTTGAACTGTGAAAGGTCTCAACATTTGACCTGGATAACTGTGGTCTGGAAGGGAAATGGGTTTTTTATGACCTCTAGGGAGTCACCTACACCCACAGTGTTTTAACTGTCACGCACACTCACTTACACGCACACACATACATACAGGTATGCGTACACAGTCACACACGAGCACTCACATAGACACAGACACAGAGTTTGCAGCACACCGTAGGGGGGTTTTATGATGGGGACGCCTCTATAAAGCTGGCTGTAACTAACAAAGGGGTGAAGATTTTGCAGAGGGACACACCGGCCTCGTCTTCCCTTCTAGAAGTGCATGCTTAAATGAAGATGAATAAAGTTTTGTGAAAATGACTACTGAGTTCCGGTGCCGTCTCTGGATGCCTCGACGAATAAAAGAACAGGGGTAAAACTGATTTCGCAACAACACCAACAGGGCTTGTTTTTGTTTTATATTAAACTCACTGCCATGGATTAAGTCATCATACACGATTAAGCAGTAACAATCTTGAAAGCCCACAACAGACACATCTGAAAGTGTGAATGCAGACTTGACTTTATCTGCTCACAAAAATGAATTTATTTTTTGTAACTTTTGACGAATGCATAGAAAATGAACAGTAATAACCCTCCCCAGACACTATATCATGCTTACTCATTCATCATGTCCGGACAAGAATGCTTTCTGCTGAGCTCTATATCTTTACTTGTGGAGCTGATAGCACATCAATCCTTCTGATGCAACTTTCTTTTGAAATTAAAATACGAGCACTTCCTGGGGAAAGAGAAGCAAATAAAAGCACAAAATCTTCTAAATAAATTTCAATGGGGGTTTGGGGGTGGGTCTATCGATACACTCCTGAGACCACCACCATACAGACTCATTCGCTGGCCAGCTGCTATTAAAATGGAACAGGGGACAAGACATGATTGTAGCAGATAATATCACATGCTTTATAAACAGTGTACTTCATTATTTATAAAACAGTAAAGTACAAAACAGTATAGCACAATTTCCATACACAGTGGTTTCCATATTTACAGGAGGGATCGGGGGGAGGAAAAGAAAATTACAACTGAAACCAAAGTGTTTACATATTGAAAAATACAAACAGGGAGGCTAACTGATTTGAGATCGGTCCACGGATGTATTCAAAGTTCAGTATTAATAACTCTGTTAGTAAAATTAGTTGTGCAGTGTCTATGTTGTCGAAACACGGGACTCAGTTTTGTGTGTTTGAAGAGGCAGGGTATACTGTTTTAATTCCAGCGCTGATTTAGGTCGACCATTGCTGAATTCCACATTTGCCTTTTGAGAAATTGAAAAAAATGACTTAATATTAAGTAAAACCCTGCTTGCACTATAGAAATAGTGAAAAGTACAATACTCGTCTTAGTCAACAGAGGGCAGCAGAACAACACTGTTAGAAATCAGCAGTCAAAGCCAAACAGAAAAATATGGTTTGTGATGATGACATTGGGTCCCAGCCCTAAACCCACAGATCATGAGATAGAGCTTGAGGGCAGAACGGCATGCGGGTGACCTCTGTTATCAGCATCTAGGCATCAATGTTAGTCACAGTTATCATGCAGCTTTTTGTTGTTGATTGTATCATTAAGCTTTCCTCAAATGACTTTGGCGGGTGTCATTTAGAGTTTTGCAAAGATTTTTTTTTAAAACATTTACACTGAATGCCTCAAACGCAATTAGAGTTTCTTCAGCCACAGGTCAGACAAGCCTTCGTGTTATTTGTACATCTACAAATAGGTAAACGAAGTGAAACTTGATGCAAATGCCTTTCATGATTTGCTGAGTGAGTGAGCTCAGGGAGTGGGTTGTGTTTCATTCGAAACTAAATAAAAATAAAAACGCTTCTAACTGAACTGTTATGAGTCATTCCGAATAGGACTTTAACACTTTAATAACAGCACATTAAAACCTTATTAATCACTCAACAGTACTATAAACGACCACAAGAACTTCAAGGTCAGTAATTACAAAATATATAATACATCTTATGCACCCCTATGAGTGTTTCCTTTACAAATAATACAAGTTATTCAAAGTAAGAAGCCGACTCTGTACATGCATTTCATTTTATACACATGTTTGCAGATTAGGAGGAAGCTGTAGTTCTTTACTGAACAACAATGGGAAATCTGACTAGCAAACGTGTATTGGCATGTGCTGATTTGTCACCACATTACTGTGCACCAGGTCCCACTGTAGCTAAAAATCTGTAGAATGTTATTTTAAACAACTTCCAGCCGTAACTATTGATGTGAAACTTCTTTTTGCCGTCCCTTTGGACTGATGGTGATATTACTTGGTGCTTTCCAGTCGAATTGGCAGTGTTGCAGAGTGTATTTTAAGTGTAATATATTCTGTACGAACCCACCATCAGCAAAATGTCTTCAAGCAGAGCGAATATATCGTTGCACTCAACTTATGACTGTAAATAAGTCTAAATATGCAGTATATAGCTGGAACTACTAAAATACATATTGGCATGTCCTTGGCATTTATTGAGCACCACCCTAATATTATGTATTCACCGGTTTGTAGACAGAGCAGACGGAGGAGAAGGGTGTATTCTTTTTGAGATAAACGGGGGAGAATTCCTCGAACTGAGCTGGTCGGAGCATGAAGATAGTGTAGATGGGACTTTGCCGATCGGTCTTTTAACAGTCTGTTCGAGAGTTTAAAACATATTCGATGATAATATAGCTTTTCTCTGCACAATAATGTGAATACACGAGAAAGAGCTATAGAAATATATCAAGGTCTCGCAAAGATTTGCCGTTGATGCTCTTCAAGCACAGCAGTCCACTTTGATGTGTGCTTATAATCAGCACTGAGGAGAGAACACTAAAACAAATCAGATCATTTTCATGTTGAACTTCCGCGCTCCACCTTGTCCTCCACTGGCTGCAGGCCCGTCCACTTTTCTAAAAGAATATTCTACAGAGAAGTTGTTTTTGTGCTGCCCTCGCCCTCGACTCCACACAAACAGCAGAATGAAACAGAAAAGGACTACCCCCAGAAACATGATACAGCCCATGGCTGTAGATATGAGGATCGTCTTGAGGTCCAGAGTAAACTTCAAGAAGACTCTGGTATCATTCAGATTTGTGTCATTAAGATCCCCAGCATAGTAGGTGCGGTTGGCCATGAGGGCTGCATCCAGCGGCAGCCCACTCACTGTAAGTGTGGCAAAATATGTGTCATTTCCACCGGCATTGCTGGCTATGCAAATGTACGTCCCACTATCTGTGACCTGGGCATAGCGGATTTCTAGCGTGCCTTCTGGTAACACGGTAAGGCGGCCGCTACTCTTTGTGGTGATGCGGCGGCGCTGAGGAGAAATCCAGAATATCACTGGTGTGGGTTCACCTTCTGCTCTGCAAATAAATGACACTACCTGTCCCTCGCGGGCAGATATCTGCTGCAGTTTCCGGTTGCGGATTTTGGGCTTTTGACAAGTAAAGTGGTCAAAGAGAGCTGAATCAGAGAAAGCATTGAGAGCATGTCCTTGCACTTCAACAGGTGTCATACACACCGGGGAGGCACCATCAAAGTTCAGGGTCTTCCTGCGCTGAAGGATCCAGAGCAAGCGGCAGTCGCAGGCCAGAGGGTTTCCATCCAAACGCAGCGTCTCCAGAGTGTTGACAGACTGAAAGGCTCCCTCCTCCAGGGTCACCAGGCTGTTAGAGGAAAGGTTAAGAAGGCGGATTTGCCTTAGACCACCGAGCGCATAGGGCTGCACTACTGCCAGGTTGGTTTTGACTAGATGCAGCTCCTTCAGCCTTACGAGATCCCGCAATGCCCAGGACTCCAACACAGTGATGGGGTTGTAAGATAGGTTGAGGCTGGTGAGGTGAGCCAAACTACGCAGGGCAGAGGTGGGCACAGAGGTGATGTTGGTGTGCGTGATAGACAGCCAGGACAAGTTGAGACCCTGCAGGCTGTGAGGAGAGATGTACTCCAAAAAGGGCCAGTGATCGATCTCCAGGCCCCTCAGGTTTCCCAGCTTCCGGAAGTTTTGGTCCTCTAAGGCAGAGATACTGAGGTAGCGGAGCCGCAGAGTCACCAGGTTATGCAGATAAGACAAAGACTGACTGGACACCGAAGTCAGGTTACACCTCTCAATTGTCAGCTCCTTCAGTCCCACCAAACCCAGAAAGGCCTTGTTAGAGATATAAACTAAATCATTGTCGCCGACCTCCAAGTTCTTTAAACTTCTCAAGTCTTGGAAAGTAAAGTCCAAAAGAATTACAATCTTATTCCCACTAAGGTCCAATGAAGTTAGGTTGGAGAGACGTGAGAAAGCTCCCATAGGGACCAGCTTCAGTTGGTTACCCCTCAGTGAAAGCGACTTAAGGTTCTGAAGGCTAGAAAAAGCATTTGGTTCCAGGACACTGATCATGTTCTCACTCAGGTCTAGCTTTTCGAGACGTGAATACGGAAGCAGGTCTCCGTGTTCTACCCAACGCAGTTTATTCCCACTCAAGTCCAGGATCTTGGTGTCCAGTGGGATTCCATCGGGCAGTGCAGACAAGCGTTTACCATAACAAGACACAGTCTTGAGCTTAGCAATGCACTCACAGCGCTGGGGACATCCTTGGCTTTGGGCAGGTGACACTGTGATCATTAGTAACAAGAAAAGGAAAGGCAGCAGCCAGCCTACATCCTGACCTAGGCTCGCCCTCGTGGCCATCCTTTCTTCCTCTTCCTTCGTTTCCTGTCTGGGCTCGAATCACTGGGCCAGACACCTGCAAAACGAGAAGAAGGGATAGAAAGAGTTAGACAGAAAAAAACCCAATAAGGCAAGAACAGAAAGAGAGGGGAGACAAAAAGACAGATAGTGAGAGAAATTCATTAGCGTCAGCTCTCTTTAAACAGCAGCAATCAAACACTCTAAATGAGCGGAATTACAATTACAAACTCTAATTGACCCGACACAGCAGTGATATTAAAGCCAGAGCGCCAAGATAATCCTCAAAGGACTGATTCGGCATTGAGTTGAAACAGTTTGGCTTACAATGGCCGACTGTGCATTGTAAGCTTACTGGTTTTATAATCACTTGCCGTGGCACAAAAACCCTAATAGCCGTGACTCAATTTGATATATGATGGTTAGGGTATATTGCTCCCCAGCCTGTCTGTATGAAACTCATGCATTGTAAATGAAAACGGGGAAATGGAGAACCTATTGTATTAAAAGCACCCCATGTGAGTAATCTTAAAATGCATGAAAAGCTAAAGTGAAGGTGGGCTCTCAAAAGTCTTTAACAGCAAATACCTGAAATGGTGCACATGAAGTGTATGTTGTGCAACAGAACACAAACAGCTATACTTAACACTTTGTAGAAGAAAACACAAGCAAGTGAACAGAGTGACTAAAACATCAAAGCGACACTGAATAATCAATAGACATAAAGCACAGTATATCCACCCCAGAGTCTTTGAGTACAAGCCCGACACTGTCTCGCACTGTAGAAGAAGGCCACGACTGGGTGCTTCAGTATAACTCCCATCACATCATCTGCACGAGGCTCTGAGGCATGAGGCTTATCATGAGAGGAGCTTGTCTAGGCTGATCTGCTAGTGGTTTCTCTCCCACCTAACGTCTTTATCTGCTGATGCTTTGACAGCAGATTGGCAATCCTTTATAAACCCATTGTGAAAGACTAACAAATAGGATGGAAAGTAACTCCCTATTTCACCTTGTTTTAGTACCTGATTGTGACACTAACTGTGTGTTAAGAGACGATCAAAAGCCACCTTTAGTTTGCCACGCTATCAATTGCATATTTAAACAATACCTATTATTTATACCTATTTCCTCTTGGAAAATTTACAATGCATCTTAGCTGACAGATGATTATTCCCAATACCCCACCTGCCACTAAATGCAGTTATACACCTGAAAATGTGTATAGAAAGCTCTGATAAATTGACTTAATGACACTGATTTTTCGAGAGCCACCATCAAAGACGCTGTGACAGAAAGCGATATACCAAACATCCCACACACTCTCACCCACACGCAACAGCCTGACACATAGCCTTTTGCAGTCGACCCAGAAACTTTGTGTTATTCACTGCGATCTAACAAGGCTCAGTAGACACTGGAGCAAGAACTCGCGCTGCACCCATGGGTAGTGTTTAGATTGTGGCTCAGACTTTGTGCATGGAAAACAAATCGCAGCAGATGGTTTAGTAGCAAGAAAATGGCAAAGCATTAAGAGATTTAATCGCCTGGCAAAGCAGATGTTCCCAAGGCACAGACATAAACAATGCCGTTTTAAAATAGAGCACCGCTAATGTAATGCAAATCATCTTCTTCATTTGATGGTCCAACATTCAACTCTGATCTTTACAAAACTTATGAATATGACATTTTAAGTTGGAAAGCACTCACTGAAGGATGCTTCTATTTCCTATTTCATTCTTTCCATTGCTGACGAGAAGGGAACTGCTTTTTGGGGGGAAAAAAATATACATCATATAGACCTCTAAATTGAATTGCTGAACTTGTCTGCATGATTTCAAGGACTTTATGTCATGCCAAGCATGTCTTTAGTTGGTCTGACATGTTTTGACTGTGTGACCCAGGGTCATGCTGGTAAAATAGTAAAAACTCACCTCGTCTGCACAAGTAAAAAAATATTTCTTTCAGTATTCACCACCAGAGTATTAGCCACAAACTTCCTCTCTAGAGTCCTACTGTCCTCAGTCCTCTGCTTTTAAAATGTCTCTAGTTTCTCTGTCAGTCACATAGCCATGCTTTACGAACCCATATCTGGTAGCAGACATTCACTAATAAGCCCAGAGGCCCCTGGCTAGAGAATGCACCATAAGTCAACAGCAGGTGAATAGGGAAGTGTGCACTCTACTGTGTGTGTGTGTGCGTGTGTGTGTGTGTATATATACATATATACTTTTTTTTATACATATAAAAGTATTGGTATTGATATTTGCAATAATGGCTCTGTATTTACTTTCGATATCAAAATTTGCAGTATTGCACAGCACTAGTACCCAGACCTATAGGAGTGTCAGTCAGGTCAGCTAGCTTAGGGGCAGACAGCATGGCTGTGGCTGTATTAGCATGGTTTTCTGCTGGGTGATAATAAATGTCTGCCAGCTGCTAAGGAGCTCTGCTTTCTATTTTTAAGAACCTTCCGTATAATGAGGATGGTGCAATGGTTAGCTTTGTGGCTAAAGTGAAATTTTGTCATGGTTGTTCAGTGGTGGAGATTATTATTAACCAGTGAGGTAAAGCTACTACACTAACATGTAAATGAACAGCAGGAAACACACAAGTGTTTGCTTTTATTAACACAAACTTGCTCTCACAGGCTATTTTTTTCTATAGGTAATATTATAATGTAAGAGATTCTATTTTAATAGCAGTAATTGTGTAATGCCACGAGTTTTAAATATAAAGTCACCGAGCACAGTCAGTGTCACATCTCTCTGATTATGCACTATTATGTTTCCCACTGACCTTCGGCGATTTCAATGAGCTACAGCGAAGCTGCTGCTCAGGCTAAAGAGTGGCTTCTCTTGACAAAGCTGTGACTGACAGCAACTCTTCCTCGTTACTCATAACTCACTTCACCCTGAATTTTTAAAAAGAGTAACATTTTGTGGTTTCTCACCAGCCAACTTGTAAAACTGATCACTATTGTACTGGCGTGAGTCATTAATAGCGACACTAGTGAAACAGAAACTTTAAAGAGGACGGAGGACTTCCAAAAGTGGACGCCAAAGGAAGAGAAAAAAAAACTTGTGAACAGCGGTGTCTCAGTTTTAACTATTTTAGAGTCAGTAAAGTAACTGAAGGGTTTAAAATACTCGGTCCATGGGATACGTGGGCTGTCAGTGAGATGCTCAGTAAAGTTCAGTTATGTAAACACTCATCTGTGAAGTCAGAGGATGTTCAACAAGCTGAGATACATCAGCTACGCCTCGCAGACAGAATCAATATGCAGCTCTGATATGAACCGCAAAGCTTCCAAAGGACAATACTGTAGGTGTTTAATGTTGCCGTGGCAACGCTGCACCATCTCCCTCCACCCATCCTTGAAACGCTGTCCTTCCCAGTCTCCTGTTTTTCATATCAAGCTCAAATGCACCTGTCCACCAGATAGCTTCAGTAAGTTTTCCCCCCCCTTCCCTTTCCTGCTTGGTGTAGGTGCATTTAGGTCCCATTTCCTGTTACTTACCACCATCACAGCTGCCTGTCACATTCACACATTGCTTGTGCAATATGTGCACACATTCATAGCACTGACAAGTGGTCAGTTGTCTTTTGTTTTACTATTTTTGTTGCCAGGCAACATTTAGCACATGGTATTAGAAAAAAAAACTTCACTGCCTGAAGTCATTTTCTACTCCAGAGTTGACTCAGTGTTTAAATGCATGGGGGATGGACTCATTTTATTTTATTTTTTTCCTCAGAACGCTGCACTGTTAGCTGCAGCAGCTTTATATTTCTGGACATCTAAGCCTACAAAAGCGTGCAATTTGTATTCGATTTTGCACATGATGGCTAAATCTTTTGAATTCATGCATGTCTTTTCTACTTTGATATGTCAAACTATGGATAATTCAAGAGGCAAACACAGAGTGTTCCTCGACCTGGATCTGAATTTAACTAATACTTGAATATTTTTAAAGGAATGCGGGAAACTGTAGGAATGATCTGTTATTTGTGACTAAAAATTACCTGAAAAATTCCAGCAGTTTGCTTATGCAAGATCAACACACGTGTCAGTCCCTGTGGAGATGAAAAGCATGAGTACACAGTCAAACTGTGCTGCCATGAAAGCGGAATATACAGAAGGCAAGTAAAAATCAGACGATGGCTTAATCCTGTGCTGCTCTGCACTGTGTTGTTCAACTTAATTTAGCCCGTACTATCGAAATAATAATGAAGGGCTCCAAGCTCTGAATAAAAAATAGTTCTAGAAACTAGCTATACTTTCTGATGTTTAAGAGCACCAAAGGTACATGTAATATTAAACTTTCTGGGGGAACTCAGGGCACCCTAATGCACACATGAATTAACCACAGCCTTGTAAGAGCCACGTTACAATATTCAGGACGTGTCTGTCTAATGGGATGGAATCAGCTTTAAGCAGACTTTAGTCAGGAGCTGACAAAAATGAATGTGGTGTTATTAAAATTTCATTAAAGAGACTTTGGTAGTGACTCTGCTATTGGTGCTATTGCTGCTGATGCAAACTGATGTGCTGACTGGCTTTGGAGTCTCCATTTCTACCTTCCTAAGACCCCTAAGTTCTCAGGGTGAATCATTCCCACACTTAATTAATTTTTATACTGAACTCAAATTTAATTAGTATTAAACTAATTAAACGTTTCAAATTTGACTGTGCCGTATCCAGCTGTCTGGCATCCTGATGGTGTATGTCATCTTTTCGGGTGCATGTTTTACAACATTTTGATGACAAATATTAATGATTTAAAAACTTATTAACACATCACCACAGGATGGAGTTTAAGAACTTTTTGATTTTGATCCAGATATGTGGAGCCGGCTCACTTCTAGTATGTGTTCAGTGCTAATTACCAAATATCAGGATGATAATAAGTGTGTTGTTTGCACTAGTCTATGTCCATGAATCCATTAGCTCTTATTAATCATGCCTGTTTTGCTTTTGTTGATAGATTTTGTTGTTTTGATTTATGATTTTTGTACTTTAGAAATTCATGCAGATTTCTTCTAGTACGCGTAGCTGTG